AACATATATGCTTTTGGGACTGGACCATGGGCGACAAAGAAGAAATCGCTTGGGTTCAACTTTCTTAGTCATTTGGTTCCTTGCCAGATACTTTGCACCCCTAGATTAGGAGATATAGCTGTTCAAATCTTGTTATTGAATGAAGAATTGACAAAATCGGAATGATAAGATTTTGATTGTGAAGAATTGTCACAGTTGTTTTGTTTTATGAATCGGAATGATGAGATTTTGATAATGTACCTCCATCACTTGAACTTCACACGCACCTAGGTTAGGCCTGTATTCAACCTCAATTTTGTGTTTGCTTGTTAGAAGTGAAATAGACAGTTTTGTGTATGCCTTAGGGTTTGGATTCTTATAATAAAAGCTAGTTTTCCCCTTCTCTTTTCTCTTTTCTACTGGGCGATTCTCCAACCCCTTACTGAGTTCAAACTCTTCTCAAAACTATGCTAAATTTATAAAGATCAAAAAATGAAAAAACAGTTTTGCTGCCTGATTGATATCATCATATTCATACACTTCCTACTGAAATTATTGATCTGGAACAGGAGGAGAGTGAAGAAAGATAGATGTGAGCGGGACTGTTACCTATATTCCTAATTGAATTGGATTTTCCAACATGCATAGGGAATGAGAAAGCCTAGTGTAATTAGGATAATTAATTAGAAATATTGTTGGTCTTCTTTCCTGTCAGGTATTCTTTTCGCCGAATGTCGTGATAGGTGTGCTCGGAAGAATACAGTAGCTGCTAGACCGACACCAATGCCCCGATTGTATCTTTTGGCTTACGCAGATGCTATTTCAATCTTCGACAAAATTGAAAGTTGAATCAGGTTGACAAAAATCCAGTCCAGCCCTATCTTGGGCTTAACTTCTGGATTCCTTCTGACTCATGGGTTCTGCTTTATAGGCGTGCCACTGTTGGATATCAGACCAGTCCAACAGACCTGGTATGTGCGAGTGCGATAGACATCTTGTGAAGTTTGCGCCTTCTTTCCGAACCTCTGCTCAAACCATTGTGCTCCAAGTGGGGTACTGGCTTGGATTGGTTCTTTTCTATGCCTCAGTTAAGAGGACTTTAATATTCTTTCTCTCGTGTATATATCAGTCCTGGTGGGTGCGAGTAACACCTATCCAAGCAAGGGAAAAAGACAGAGTTCTTGGTCAATAAACACCTTATACGGGTTTATAAACCTAAATATGAATTTAAATATAGGTTAAAGTGCTACAGTGCTCCTTGAAACATTGGTCAATTCTCACTTTACCCCCTCAAAGTTAAAGTGACCCACTTTACCCCATTGATCAATGTTTTGTGTCTCACTTTGCCCCTCACCGTCAAGTATGTTAAAAATTCTGTTAAAAAAGCTGATGTGGCACCAATGGGACCCACTATTTGGCTAAACTAAATGCCATGTGGGAAAAAAAAAACAATTAAAAATTGTCTTTTAAAAATTATGGATTTAAGGCTTTGACCTCACTCATCCCCCACTAATATTCCTTCCTCTATTTCACTACTAGCCCTACTCCCACTCTCAACTTGAACCTCCTCCGTCTCTCTCTTCCTCACCTCAACACTCTTCGACTGCTCACTCCCAACTGAGTCCTTGGACCAAGTCGGTGACTTGGACTTCAACTCCGATTTCGACCCCTTTCCATCCCTAAATCTCCTCACTGGAGACCTAACCCTAGACTGTTCGCTCCCCGAATCTCTCAAATTCGACCACATCAACGACCTCACATCCCTCAACCCCTTCCCTCCTCTCTCCTCAAACTTCTTCCCAAACCTCCGCCATGACAACGCTCCGCTTCCTTCGCGCCTCGGCCGGTCCCCCTCCGATCGAAAACCTTTCGGAAACTCCGCCGGCGACCGCCTGGACACGGAGAAGCTCTCCGACCTGTGCATCGAGCTACGATCGTACCCTCCGCCATCTCTATTATATAGTGTCTTGTTTGTAGTAGAAGCTTCTGTGCGAGGTAAAAGAGGAGATCCGGCTGGGGTTCGGGTTGGGGTTCGGATTCGAATCCTTTCCATACGAATCGAGATCGTTTTTGGATCTCAGTCTCTTCATTTCTCCCCCAAATTAAAGAAACATAAAAACAAATCTAGAAAAATAAATAAATAAAGAGCTAGAATATGTTGCATGAGCTAAAGGGGCGTGGAATTTTGCCCCGAGGACATGTCGAATTTACGGGTATTGCCACGGGAGCTGTTCGAAAGTGAGCTAGGGTGTTGCAGAGAGACCGGCGGAGGAAGGTAGGGGAAAGAGGGGAGGGGTAAATTTGGGAAAATGGTGGTAGTGGTGTTGGTGTTTCAGTTAAATTAAGAATTTTAAAAGACAATTTTTAATTTTTAATATTTTTTTTCACACATGGCATTTAGTTTAGCCAAATAGTGGGTTCCATTGGTGCCACATCAGCTTTTTTAACAGAATTTTAAACAAACTTGACGGTGAGACACAAAACATCAATCAAGGGGGTAAAGTGAGAATTGATCAATGTTTCAATGGACATTTTGGAAAAAGCAAAAGGAGAGAGAAAATTTTTAAAAGAATCAAAAATGGACAAAAATGCCCTTATTTATTTTTAGATTTCCTAAGGAATCCAATACATTTGCATGTCTTTGATTTGAAAGTTGAGTGGTTTTTTTGTTTTTTTTTTTAAAAGCTTTGGCTTTTTCCAAAAGTGAAATTTTTTTTATGTCTAAAACCTAAAAAACTTATGTTTCAAGGAGTACTATAGCACTTAAGCCTTAAATATATTTATATGAACTAACCGCAAATTCGGGCCCAACAATGTGACTTTCGGGCCCAACTGGTTTATATCCCTTAAGCCTATGAGGCCTTATTCGGGCTAGAAACCTTTTATGACCTTACAACTTAAATAAAATAGAAGCAAGAAAATGCTGAAATATCGTAACTATGAAGAGAAGTGCAGATACAGGCATAACAGAATTTTCTAGAAACAAGTTCCATCCTTCTTATTTATTCAGTTCTTAAATTAACGGCAGGAACAGTAGAGATCCATATTTATTGGTTATAAACTATGAAATACATTATCACGGTGATCTAAGGTTATAGCCAGCTAGATTATACAAATTCAAATTGAGCATTTTCAGAAGTAAGTCATACCATGGAGATGGCAGAGAAATAAAAAGATGGACACAGAAGTAGTCTGGTTATCTGAGATCCGAGCGAGTTTGACTAGAATATCTTAAATGCTTTTTGAGTGTTTTACATGACGTTGCGTCTGGTTTTTGGAGAGAGAGTACTCTTCTTCTGTGCTGGAAGCTCTCTATTTATAGGAGCAGGGGAGGCCTTAAGTGATGATGACTGAGCGAGGATGTTTGGCTGTTGTCCAAAGTCAGCTTGTTGACTTGACGTCCTGAACCGGTCCGTAGTGGGAGTGATTGGACTTTCTGACGAGAACCACAGGTCCTTCGAAACAGCTCTCTGGTCTGAAGCGTTTTGTACTTGGCGATTTGATATGCAAGTTGGCTTCTTACCTGGCTTGGTGGCTTCCTTAGGCGGCTGGCTTTCTTAGAGCATCCACAGTGGGAGGTTGTAAATTCGGGGGTGTAAAGCCATTCTTACATCCCCTTTACACCTCCGGGGGGTGTAAATTCGTTTTTTGCTCCAATGGGAAAATATGTAAATCTAAGATGTATAATTGTTTTGTTTGTCTTAATTCGTTTTTGTGTTAAATTTGCATTTTGTGTTTACTTTATAAAATTAATTTTTTTTGTATTAGGTTAATTTTATTTTTTCAAACAAATGGACCTAAAAATATTTAAATTCGGAGAAGATATAATTTCATTCAAAAAGAATCGTTGGATTGTAAAGTACCTAATAGGTTAAAGAATAGAAAATAAACAAAAAACCTAAAAATTAAAATCCAATTTTTAAATGCTGTTTTGGAAGCTTAAACGACCTCAAAAGCTAAAAATCCATCTTATATCACTACAAAGTAGTGAGTATGATTCGTGACATTGTTCCCTTTTCGGGAAGGTATCATAGACCCCAGTCGGAGCTCGAACGCCAAATCTGTAAATTCATATTACGTCCTTTTTCAATTTTTCATTCCAATAATTATGCCAATTTTTTTCCAGAAATTACTGTAGCTGCGGGTCCCAGCCATTTATGCTGACTTTTCTTCTCTTTTCTCGGGCGGGTCCCACCTGCAAGGGATGTAAATTTGGATGTAAATATACATTTTATTTTACACCTCAAAGGTGGTGATGTAAATTTACATCCTTTTACACTTCCTCATTGGAGACGATTCCGGTGACTCAGAGTGTATATTTAACATACACCCCCATATACACCCCCCACTGTTGATGCTCTTACTGGAAGAGGGAAAAGTCAAATCGTCATTAAATGTTGATGGTCCTTCTCTAACTTCGCGTGGGTTTGGAACAATTTCCGATTTTTCATTTTTCAGTAGTCCAATCACTTTGGGCCCTTTGTTCTTGGGCTTCGTCCTGTCTTGGTGTTTATTTTAAACAAGAAAAGTCCTCTTAAGAAATATAACTTACAAACAGCTATTGGGCTTGGGCCCTTGCCACGCTCTTTTTGGGGAGGGAACCACTTGTGGTCCATTGACCAAAATTGGGTACAAACAAATATGCATTCATTTTAATTCCTAATTGAATTGGATTTCCAACATGTTTGGGTTTAGGACGTTGAATTAAAATCCTGGGAGATATCTGTTTGACTACTTGTATTCCTATATACGGAAAGGCTATAATGAGAGCTTAAAGTGAGGAGGTTATTTGATGAGGTCAAATCTCACCATCAACAAATGTAAAGAAATCATGGGACTTAAATATTTTAAATGTTTTGACGGTCGGATCGGTCTCTTCACTTTAACTCCTCATTGTAGAAGCTCTCTCCTATATAAGTAGGGGGCCGGATAAGCAGTTGAAGACATAAAGCATAACATCATCCAGTCCCTACACTTAAAACTTCAATATTTCACATACTTTGTTAAAGCGAATGAAGAGAATGGCCCACAGCTATTGCAACAATGAGAACAAGAAGAAGAAGAAGCAGCCAAAGTCGAACTCGATGATTGACTCCCTACCTGTGGAAATTCTTATCGACATCCTTTTGAGACTGCCGGTAAATTTGGTTTGTTGCATCCGATGTGTATCTAAGGCCTTGTTAAAGACAGTTGACGACCTCTCTTTCGCCACACTGCACATGCGGCGTCGTGTTCTTACTACTTCTTGTAATACTACCCCTGAAGTTCCTCGACTTGTTCTTCTTATTGACTCTCACTTTATGCAGATGCACCCATTGAAATACAATGGCAAGGATTTGATAAAGAGCAAACATGCAATTGTTTCCGATTTTAGGTTAAGACAACGTTATTGTTATTATCCTGCTTTTGTTTTCTGCAACTTGTTTGGCTTCAAGGAAATTTCTTTTCATGCGAAGTATGGAAGGTCATGCTTGTTGTTGAATCCTTTCAAGGGAGAATTTCTAGTGCTCCCAACAGCAAGTGACGTCCAAATTTCAACCAATAGTTCCTTCGTCGATGACTGGTACGGCATGGGATTTGATAATATAACTAACACCTACAAGATCTTTCGTGTTTCTTGCCAAAAAGAGGACTTCAAAACCCACATGGCAACCCACGTTCTTGTATTGGGGACAAGCTCATGGCGGGAGTTATCCTCAATTCCTCCTAGTTGTCTAACCCACAAGTCGACATATGCACATGGAGACATGCATTGGTTGGTTATTGAAGATGATTTTTGACTTCAAGAAAGAGGAGTTCTATTGGACTCCTTGTCTCGCTTCCTTAGAGAAGAAGCGGCATCTTTGGGACTTTCTCCACTTGCTTAATTTTAGAGGATCTTTGGCTCGAGTGGAATTTTCTTTCTCAGAAGATAAATATATGAAGATACGGGGATTGAAAAATAATTATGATAACAAAAAAGAGTGGGTTCTAAATTACAAAATAGATACTCAACAATATAATCTTCCTCAAGGTCAAGGGAAACTTAGTCATTCTAAGTGCGGTGAATGGGAGCATGACATATTTTTCAACCAGGAGTACTGTGGCAATAATCATATATTCTTTGTGGATCTAACGTCTATTTCCATGAATAGCGTACCACGCAGAGCTCTAAAGTATTCTATGACAGTCTATAGTTTTACTAACAGCATGATTTCTTTAAAGAATTATGGAGATTTAGTCGGACCAGAAGAACAAGAAGGTATTACCGAATACCCCATAACTGACGAAACTTATGAGAATTTGACTAAAGCTGCAAAAGCAAGTAGGAGAGATTTGGTTTACTTGAAAACACAGATGGATTCATTAGCCGAGGAGGAAAGTAAATGAGGAAACCATGTTAGTCTCGGCATATACACAATTTCTGTATTTTGGGGTCTCTTTCTTTTATATTTAGAAAATAAATGAAATAATCACACGTATGTGTTTGAGAAGGCTTTGCAAAGTAATGTACTATTTAATCGCGAGTACTGAATATAATGATCAATTATTGTAACAATAGTACATAATATCTGTAGCTTTGTATTTTATTTTCTTTTTCTTTTTATGTTCGTGCTTTCATTTCTTCAAATTCCTAATGAACATATGGAAAGTAATATTTACTTAAAAAGCTCGATTTATATATAACTTTTGTGCCATGTAGGATTGCATTCATTTTTCAGATTTGCCGGATAAGATGCATGCAGAACTTTTGCATTGCACTTTAAAGGTAAGTTCTCATTCTAGAAAGGAGAAGGAAGCCTTAAAGCTTTTAGTCCTAATATACAGAGGTAGTATGCTAGAGAAAATGACATGCCTTTAACCAAATGCATACACATCTGGCCCATAGTTACTGAGGGCATGGACACATCACTGCCTCAATGTTACTTAGTGTCCTAACTGCAACTCAAACCTTCAAGACACTGTCCTTGGGAATAACTAAGTCCAGTACGAATATACTTTCTATCCTCTGCCCTAAAACAAGAAATTGGGTAGTGCTACACTGCGTGCAGTATTGCGAGTTGCCCAGCAGCAGTAGGTTTTACTATTGCCGCTTGTTGCTGCATGTTTCAAGAAGGAAAAGGAGAAGGTAAGAAAATGCACACATAGCTTGTAGTAGTCTATAGAAATGACCCATTTTGGTATTACCGCTAAGGGGCAGCGGAAGATATTGTGGCCAACTTCCTTGCACCGACTGCAGAATTGATGGCCGACTTTGGTGCGGCCTCCAGTCTGAAAATTGAGACAAAGGGACAGGAAAAGTTAATGGAAAACAGAATTAGTAAAACTTTACTAGAGAAAGGAAGAGTAAAATTTTGTAAGCAAATGTGGTGACAGAGTTAGCAATCTATAATAGGAGGGGCCAGTTCATGGAGTTCTAAGCTCAACTCCTCAGACGATGTAATTGATGATTATAGTTATGCAAAGTATAGGGAAACATAATAAAAACATAAAGAAGTATCTGATCACCTGCTTGGGAGTATTTTCCCTAGATTCTCTATCCTTGTAATGAAACATATCTTCCACTGAGTTTACTCGTATTCCTGTTCCCAAATTCACATAATTCTGCAACACCGCATCAAATAAATTTGTTAGATTGAAGCAATTATGAGGATAAAGTCTCATGACAAGTAAAGGCAGTGACTGAGTTAGCAATCTATAATAGGAGGGGCACCAGTTTGTGGAGTTCTAAGCTCAATCATTGACTCCTCCATATGCAAATTATAGAGAAACATTATAAAAACAAAAAGAAGTATCTGATCACCTGCTTGGGATTATTTTCCCCAGATTTGCTATTCTTGTAACAAAACATATCTTCCACTGAGTTTACTCGTATTCCTGTTCCCAAATTCACATAATACTGCAACAACACATCAAATAAATTTTTAGTTTGAAGTTATTATGAGGATAAAGTCCCATGACAAGTAAATGCAGTGAAAGAGTTAGCAATCTATAATAGTGGGGGACACCAAGTATAGCTATTGGTGCAAATGGATTGGAATCTGTCCAATCTAATAACAAGAAACAGCTACAATTACATATATCCATCTCAAAATCAAAATCAACCAAACAGTTCTAGAACTCCTAAATTTTACAAAGAGAAAAGAAAACAGAAACAAACATCCAAACATAAACTAATTTTGTACATAGAAGAGAGCCAGGAATCAGGTGTTTAGGTACCAAGGTTTTAGATCCGTCCTTTTGGATTTCACTCTTCAACTCCCGGCCATCAGGAATTGGGCATCCTGTGTGCTTATCTACCATCTTTGAGAATGATGTTCTCCTTCTTCAATGGTGCTTGCAGGAATCTCTCCCCTCAACTTTCTCCTTGTTTGAGGGTCCTTTTAACCCTAAACTTCCGATAAGAACGAGGCATTAAAGGAAAAGTTCTTGAAACGGATATGCCTCTGAGTCATGTAATCCCATCTTCTCAGTGTGTTTTCACGAGAGCTGAAACGTAACTGAAGATAAGGACAAGTACTTTTGCCTTAATAAAATAATAGAACTGGAAATGACAAACTAAACAGCGCACCATTCACCAGAAGACAGTAAAAACGCTCAAGACAGGATGAATGCCAGATAACAGAGAAGGCATTACCAAAACTTCCGATAAGAACGAGGTGTTTAAGGAAAAGTCCTTGAAACAGAAACGCCTCTTGAGTCACGTGATCCCATCTTCTCAGTGTGTTTTCACGAGGGCCAAAACGTAACTGAAAATAAAGACAATTACTTCTGCCTTAAGAATATAATAGAACAACTGGAAATGACAAACTAAACAGCGCACCATCCACAAGAAGACAGTAAAAACGCTCAAGCCAGGATGAAAGCCAGATAAGAGAGAAAGTATTACCAAAAACAAACCTACTTAGCATTTCAGAGCTCATATTGATTCTTTTTTTTCTTTGGTGGAAATATAAAAAATCATAATTAGATCCTCAATGTCCCCATTGTAATCACGATTCACAAGAACAATAGTAGGTATTATCTATAGTAGACTGAATGTGTACCTAGAATGAAATTTAGTTCAGGGCATCTGAAGTTTGCATACCATATTTTCCTATATCCCCCGTTGTTAATCAATAAATATTTCCAGTTATGATTTTGAAATGTCACATTTTTGCCCTTTTCACACTTGGATTTTAGAATCTAAAAGCTATGCGCTGCAGTATTTAATAGGCATGTAAATAAAGCAATGCAAATTTCTGAAGTTAAATGATTATCTTCCATGCAGAGAAACAAAAGGAAACACTTTAAACCAGTACAAAATTATTAGACACGAGTAGCCTAACTGGTACACAAAAACAACAGAATCCATCAATGTCGAAACACATTTTTTTTTTATAGCAATTATTACACACACATACACTCAAAATTCATACCTTCCCACCTCTCGGCTTTCAAGATGGCTAATATCCTACTGAGTGAGATTCAAAGCCCTTTAACATTTATGAAGTTCTGAATAACATCACTATTAACAGCCCAATAATATATAAAAGCAGCCCAAAAAGAAATAATCACTTCATAGTAGCTGAATTTCTTTGAATTGCCAAAACATACATACACAAACTAAATTTCCTTGTCACAAGAAACAACAATGAGTTGAACAACACAAGAAAATATAGTATTATGAAGAAGATAAGAATTAAAAAATAAATACCTGATGTTAATAGCCTAAATTTCAATACAACCCTACCCAGAATGGTAACAACTAGACCCAACTTGAAAACAAAATATACAATCATGCAATCAAACAAAATAAATATCTGACGAGGCTCACGGAGTAAAGAGACTTGTTATGAAGTTTCAAAGATAGAGAAGCTGAGACATCAAGAAAGACAATCTGGCATACAAAGATGGAAAAATAAAAATTTTGGAACAGTAGCAAAGAAGCATGTGAAGGCTAGGTGCGGTGAGAACACATATGAGAGGATGAACAAAAGATGGTGACTATACAAGATGAAGACCCATGATGGGTTAGGAATGAGGAATGCCAACGACTCTCAATTTGGCAGAGGATCTCAAGGATTAGCAACGACTCTCAAGGAGACCACAAACACAGGTCACAAGAAAACCTAGGCTCTTATCCCATGTCAAATAAAGTAGGGCAAATATTCAGATATGCTCAGATTCACTCATATTCTCATATTTTCTCATCTTATTATTCTTCTCCAATATGGAGGTATTTATAGAGAAGTACAACCCTAAATAAAATAGGAAATAAATCCAAATTACAATAGAAAATAAATATAAATTACAATAGGAAATAAATCTCAATTATAATAGGACTAGATAAATGGGTAAGTAACCAAAATCCTAACATAGTAAGGAACCAAAATCCTAACTAAGTAAGGTCTCACCAACAAATCTTCCTTGCAGAATTTTGGAGCCCACGTACCTGCCCAAAGTACAAAATTGAAATTTATGAAAAAGAGCAGGATGGCATAGAATTAATATTACAAACAAGACAGTCAAGCCAAATATATTAATGACAAGTTCTAGTGGTTGCAAGTAAGTGTATATGACGTACCTCCCTAACATCAGATAGAAGCCCTGTGGATGGCTCGCTGGTGTGGAAGGGAATGTGGAGCCATCAACAACGCGTAATGCGTTGATCCCTGTAACACGGAAATCATCATCAAGCACCTCCCCGACAAGGCATCCACCATGGTAATGCCAATATGACGCTACTGCCTCTTGGCAAAATGTTTCAAAAGCTGCATCATCTGTCTGGTTCTCTGGCAAAGGTATTCCCAAAATATCAAAACCTTCTATGGCCGGCAAATCTTCCACTTTATATGGTTTTAATGCGTCTGAGCTCAAGAATTCACCAATCTTCTTCATGCCGCTAACACAATGAGCAAGGTCAGTTGAATTAGAATAGTAGTTGAATGTGACATTTGGAGCGACTCTCACGTCAGAGGTTGATTGCAGCGTGACAGTACCATGAGATAATGTTCCTGGAACATTGTTAACAATGTGAGCGAAAGTCGTATTTGGCAGGGATAGATAGCTTTGTATTTTTTTATTTTTTTATTTATATGTTCGTGCTTTCATTTCTTCAAATTCCTAATGAACATATGGAAAGTAATATTTACTTAAAAAGCTCGATTTATATATAACTTTTGTGCCATGTAGGATTGCATTCATTTTTCAGATTTGCCGGATAAGATGCATGCAGAACTTTTGCATTGCACTTTAAAGGTAAGTTCTCATTCTAGAAAGGAGAAGGAAGCCTTAAAGCTTTTAGTCCTAATATACAGAGGTAGTATGCTAGAGAAAATGACATGCCTTTAACCAAATGCATACACATCTGGCCCATAGTTACTGAGGGCATGGACACATCACTGCCTCAATGTTACTTAGTGTCCTAACTGCAACTCAAACCTTCAAGACACTGTCCTTGGGAATAACTAAGTCCAACATATAGTACGAATATACTTTCTATCCTCTGCCCTAAAACAAGAAATTGGGCAGTGCTACACTGCGTGCAGTATTGCGAGTTGCCCAGCAGCAATAGGTTTTACTATTGCCGCTTGTTGCTCCATGTTTCAAGAAGGAAAAGGAGAAGGTAAGAAAATGCACACATAGCTTGTAGTAGTCTATAGAAATGACCCATTTTGGTATTACCGCTAAAGGGGCAACGGAAGATATTGTGGCCAACTTCCTTGCACCGACTGCAGAATTGATGGCCGACTTTGGTGCGGCCTCCAGTCTGAAAATTGAGACAAAGGGACAGGAAAAGTTAATGGAAAACAGAATTAGTAAAACTTTACTAGAGAAAGGAAGAGTAAAATTTTGTAAGCAAATGTGGTGACAGAGTTAGCAATCTATAATAGGAGGGGCTAGTTCATGGAGTTCTAAGCTCAACTCCTCAGACGATGTAATTGATGATTATAGTTATGCAAAGTATAGGGAAACATAATAAAAACATAAAGAAGTATCTGATCACCTGCTTGGGAGTATTTTCCCCAGATTCTCTATCCTTGTAACGAAACATATCTTCCACTGAGTTTACTCGTATTCCTGTTCCCAAATTCACATAATTCTGCAACACCGCATCAAATAAAGTTGTTAGTTTGAAGCAATTATGAGGATAAAGTCCCATGACAAGTAAAGGCAGTGACCGAGTTAGAAATCTATAATAGGAGGGGCACCAGTTCGTGGAGTTCTAAGCTCAATCATTGACTCCTCCATATGCAAATTATAGAGAAACATTATAAAGACAAAAAGAAGTATCTGATCACCTGATTGGGATTATTTTCCCCAGATTTGCTATTCTTGTAACAAAACATATCTTCCACTGAGTTTACTCGTATTCCTGTTCCCAAATTCACATAATACTGCAACAACACATCAAATAAGTTTTTAGTTTGAAGTTATTATGAGGATAAAGTCCCACGACAAGTAAATGCAGTGAAAGAGTTAGCAATCTGTAATAGTGGGGGGCACCAAGTATAGCTATTGGTGCAAATTGATTGGAATCTGTCCAATCTAATAACAAGAAACAGCTACAATTACATATATCCATCTCAAAATCAAAATCAACCAAACGGATCAAGAACTCCTAAATTTTACAAAGAGAAAAGAAAAGAGAAACAAACATCCAAACATAAACTAATTTTGTACATAGAAGAGAGCCAGGAATCAGGTGTTTAGTTACCAAGGTTTTAGATCCGTCATTTTGGATTTCACTCTTCAACTCCCGGCCATCAGGAATTGGGCATCCTGAGTGCTTATCTACCATATTTGAGAATGATGTTCTCCTTCTTCAATGGTGCTCTCAGGAATCTCTCCCCTCAACTTTCTCCTTGATTGAGGGTCCTTTTAACCCTGAACTTCCGATAAGAACGAGGCGTTAAAGGAAAAGTTCTTGAAACGGATATGCCTCTGAGTCATGTAATCCCATCTTCTCAGTGTTTTTTCACGAGAGCTGAAACGTAACTGAAGATAAGGACAATTACTTTTGCCTTAATAAAATAATAGAACTGGAAATGACAAACTAAACAGCGCACCATTCACCCGAAGACAGTAAAAACGCTCAAGACAAGACAGGATGAATGCCAGATAACAGAGAAGGCATTACCAAAACTTCCGATAAGAACGAGGTGTTTAAGGAAAAGTCCTTGAAACGGAAATGCCTCTTGAGTCACGTGATCCCATCTTCTCAGTGTGTTTTCACGAGGGCCAAAACGTAACTGAAAATAAAGACAATTACTTCTTCCTTAAGAATATAATAGAACAACTGGAAATGACAAACTAAACAGCGCACCATCCACAAGAAGACAGTAAAAACGCTCAAGCCAGGATGAAAGCCAGATAAGAGAGAAAGTATTACCAAAAACAAACCTACTTAGCATTTCAGAGCTCATATTGATTCTTTTTTTTCTTTTGGTGGAAATATAAAAAATCATAATTAGATCCTCAATGTCCCCATTGTAATCATGATTCACAAGAACGATAGTAGGTATTATCTATAGTAGACTGAATGTGTACCTAGAATGAAATTTAGTTCAGGGCATCTGAAGTTTGCATACCATATTTTCCTATATCCCCCGTTGTTAATCAATAAATATTTCCAGTTATGATTTTGAAAATGTCACATTTTTGCCCTTTTCACACTTGGATTTTAGAATCTAAAAGCTATGCGCTGCAGTATTTAATAGGCATGTAAATAAAGCAATGCAAATTTCTGAAGTTAAATGATTATCTTCCATGCAGAGAAACAAAAGGAAACACTTTAAACCAGTACAAAATTATTAGACACGAGTAGCCTAACTGGTACACAAAAACAACAGAATCCATCAATGTCGAAACACATTTTTTTTTTATAGCAATTATTACACACACATACACTCAAAATTCATACCTTCCCACCTCTCGGCTTTCAAGATGGCTAATATCCTACTGAGTGAGATTCAAAGCCCTTTAACATTTATGAAGTTCTGAATAACATCACTATTAACAGCCCAATAATATATAAAAGTAGCCCAAAAAGAAATAATCACTTCATAATAGCCGAATTTCTTTGAATTGCCAAAACATACATACACAAACTAAATTTCCTTGTCACAAGAAACAACAATGAGTTGAACAACACAAGAAAATATAGTATTATGAAGAAGATAAGAATTAAAAAATAAAGACCTGATGTTAATAGCCTAAATTTCAATACAACCCTACCCAGAATGGTAACAACTAGACCCAACTGGAAAACAAAATATACAATCATGCAATCAAACAGAATTAAACATATCAATTCAGATGCCATCAAACTTCCATAAATGAACGCACATATTTTTTGAGAAAAAAACACCAAGCCAGAGAGAAATACCCTTCCCAATTTCTTTTTTGGAGCAACTACTAACTTTCATCAGCACCATTTCTCCATTACCAAACAACAAAAAAGTAAGTAAATTTGCAAATTGTTCATATATAAAGCAAAGCTTTCAGTTGTACCTTGCTTGGGGTCTCTTCATCTTCATGTCCTCCGAGCTTAAAAGAGGTACCTTGCTTGCCGGTTTGACGACATAGTTGTCTGAAACCAAACCCCTGACTGAGTAACCAGTGGAAGTCGTTCAGAAACTGAAAACTCTAAAACGACGCCGTATACTCTTCAAATATATTAATATTTAACTGTTTAAATGTATTCGAATATTTTAAAGGTTAAGTAAAATCTTTTCGACCAAAAACAAAAAGCAGCATCTTAGCTTTTTTTAATTATTGTAATCTGTAATTATGTTTTAATTATTATTTCTTTAGTGAATGATTAGTATTTAAATATTTTACTAATTTCACAAATTTCTTAATAAATAGTAATTAATTATTTTAAATTATTTTGTGGACTTCTTTTATTTTTTATACAAAATTAGTTTTTTTAGTTTAATGTTTGCAATTAATTAATATCTTATCCTTATTTAATTATATTAATTATTAATTATGTTTTTATTATTATTTATTTAATGAGTATTTTGAATTTAAGTATTTTAATTAATTTCATAAATTACTTAATAAATACTAACGACCTATATATACTTATCTTAAAATAATTTTGTGGAATTTAAAATTATTTAAAATTTCTAAATATATTTTTAAAATAGTTTCAATTATTAGAAAATTATTTTAGTATTCCGAGAATGGATTTGAGCCTCTAAACCCTAAATCCGAGTCTCAAACCCTTTTCAAGCTTCGAACCCTAACCACGAAGCTACTACAGGGCACTTATGACTCGATTAGGCTTGGATACTCACGTAATTCGACCTAGGATTTTATTATTGACCAGGAAAATTCACTGAGACATGTCTAAGTTAGGTCCGGTTACGTCGTACTAACCCAAGACCTGATTATTAAATATTAATTATTATGTATATATAATCCAAGCCCAATCAAAAGGTGAGGCCCAAGTTCCACTTAACTAGGCCGACCTTCCAAATAGCACATGTGGGAAGACTCCCACTTATAAGGAATAGAGACTTTCTCTTCTTTTCCAATATGGCACTCTAGTTTATGTATTTCATTCAAACTCCAACAAGTAGTTGATATTATCGAATCACATTGTGACTTGGATTTAGGGTTTGGACGTTAAAATCCATTTTTGGAATACTAAGGACTCGATTAGGCTCAGACATGTAAATAATATAAATAAGAATTTCTTTTCCTTTCTCTGGCCATTAAAATTTTGAAACCCTTGTCTCGTCCACCATTTCTCCATTACCAAACCCCTGACTAACTAGTGGAAGTCGTTTTCCCAGATAATTAAAACTACAAGAAATGTTTCTTCTAATTCTATGGGACATTTTCCCTACTAGAAATGTTTCTTCTAATTCTACCAACGTACAAAACATTCCTAAATGGGGTGAAGTTGAGGCTAAAGCTGCCCTTGTAGCTCTTCTAGCTGTTCATGGAGCAAGCATGCTGTCTTAAAAGGGTTGGTATGTTAAAGAAGCTTCATGAATTTACAAATAATAGGTCCTCAACACAAGTCACGATCCAGCAGGGTTTTTCTCAGAAGCATCAACTCAACTCACCATGCTGCATGTCTTAGAAGGGTTGGCGTGTTGAAGAAACTGGATGTTGCATAAGATGAATGTGGACATGTGCGTGGTGTGTGGAAGTAGAAATCTAATTCCAATGAGCTTTAAGATTTTCAAAGACGCAATACAAACTCATTTGAGAGTACAAGTTCAAATTTATCAGAAACATTAACAATACAAAAAAACTCTTTACATAGGCTTGGGGGACTCTGGGGATTTGGGAGGTTGATGACAACTTCTACAGTTGTGCCCTATTTTACCACACTTACTACAGCGTGGCGACTTCCTTGTTCTGGCCACTGTCACACGCCCACTCAGGCTGCGTGCAGTAGGTTTCGTGATTGCTGCTTGTTGCTGCATGTTTTAAGAAGGAAAAGGAGAAGGTAAGAAAAAGCACACTTAATTTGTAGGAGTCTATAGAAATGACTCTACCCATTGTGGTATTACCGCTAAGGGGCAAAGGAAGATATTGTGGCCAACTTCCTTGCACCTACTGCAGAATTGATGGCTGACTTTGGTGCGGCCTCCAGTCTGAAAATTGAGACAGAAGGACAGGAAAAGAAAATGGAAAACAGAATTAGCAACACTTTACTAGAAAAAAAGAAGAGTAAAACTTTGAAAGTAAACGCAGTAACAGAGTTAGGAATCTGTAATAGGAGGGGAATTGGAGAAGATAAATCTACAAATAACCAGGGCCCATGTCCAAAAAAAAAAAAAAAGGTATAGACAAACATAATAAAAAGAAGTATCTGATCACCTGCTTGGGATTATTTTCCCCTGATTCGCTATTCTTGTAATGAAGCATATCTTCCACTGAGTTTACTTGTATTCCTGTTCCCAAATTCACATAATACTGCAACACCGCATCAAATAAATTTGTTAGTTAGAAGAAATTATGAGGATAAAGTACCATGATTTGCAAAAATGTTTTCAGTATCACAAATTTTTGGCAAATTGTTCCTTCTATTTATTCATCCTGTATTTCTGAGAACGTGGTTTTTCAGACATGTAGGCACTAGGAAAATCGAGCATAAAAGTATGAAACTACGAACATTACAAGAGCTTAAGGCTTAGTGCTAAGATAGAATATCATGTTCCATGCTTGAAGATTAAAAACTTATAAAATCAGAGGCAGTTATGCTGTTTTTCGTTTTTCTAAGGACTTGCACTGTTGACAGCAGTTTTAAATGATTTGAAACGAAGAATTATAGCACGACACAATGCTTTTATAAATAGTTCTTCCAGTGATCTTACTAAATTACAGAATCTACTTACTGTAGCAGTGTTAATAAAATATTAGTTCAATGGGAAAGTAATTAGGCAACTGATTCATCTCTTTAATGACTTTCCGTCTTCCTTACCAGGCAGGGTCAGCTTTCTACCTTTAGTGGCTGTTATACCAGTCTCGTGACTTTCGATAGAGGTTCTTGAGGAAATGAAAGAAAAAATTAATGTGTGCCACCATGCTTTCCAGCATGATGAGACGCATTACTAAAACTAAAATAAATTAGAGGAATCTACAAAGAGACCAAGAAGCAAATATAGAATTTTCTTGTCAACAAATTTCCATCTTCTTCATTTGATAGCGGTTTTTCTACTGAACTCCGGACTTTTGATAGCTGTTCTTAAAGAAATGAAAGAAAAAAATAACGCGCGTCTCCAGGCTTTCTGGCATGGCAACACGTGTAACTGAAACTGACATAAATGAGAAGCATTTTCAAAGGCAATCATAATAATACAAAATTTTCGTTTCAACAAGTTTCCATCTTCCTCACCTATGTGACATTTAGATGAAGAGAATTTTTAAACTTCCATGAATCCATGTTGCTTAGATGGTTGCCAATCTTTGCTTGCTTACTTTTAACTTTTTTGTGGGTAGAACCATCTGCTTTGATGTTCTTCATATAAGTTTCAACCTATGAACTTCTTGTTGTTTGTGGCCAGACGCAAGCTTCATTTATATATAAAAAATTCCTTTTTGGTGAACATTTTGGAGATGTTATTAGAATTAACTATCCAAAGTTGGCAATTACATTATTAAAATTTGAGTTCTAAAGCACTTTTCTTCTGTATGAATGTTAGAGAATGATGGTCTTAAGATCAACCTATTAAAGTTGATAGCATCGTATTAACAGCATCTCAATGTCAATGATCAACTTAACTATTGCTTTTGGCCTTTGTAGTTTGTGGTGTTTCTCACTGGTTTTAGGTATGCTTTTCACATGTACCTAATAATCTCTTAAGTATTTTATGTAAGTGCTAGTAGAGGAGCTATGAAATTGTTATTTGAGGAGCTACACATTTTTTCTGGCATTGCTGCATGTTAAAGGAGGACATCAACGTAAACAGAAACAAAACTGTAACCGATTTAAATCCAAAATCACATAGAAATAAGGTTAAAAGGAATTTAAAAACTTGACCTGTAAAATTGATACATAAAAGAAAGACCAAAAACAAAAACAGAACCCATGTCACATCCTGCAATATTCTAATTAATGGCCAGCAAAAGAGAACTTAAACCCCTAACATTCATGATAAAATTAGCATTCAGTAAACTCCATAACAAAACCAGAGAATTCAAACTTCACACTCAATTAGATAAAATTCCAACATCTAAATCAGGTTAACAGTTCTTATTACCTTAACCTTAGTTCCATCCTCTTTTCTCTCAGTTCCCGGAACCCAACCAGCGGGAAGATTGCTCGAGCTCTCACCAGCCATGTTCACAAGCTTTAATCTTGCAGAGACCCAAAACACAAACAAAATCACAAGCTTCAATCTTGCAGAGACCCAAAATACAAATAAACTCAAACTCTCTCTGGGACAATCTTTCAAGCACTAAGCCTGCAATATGAACTAGGTGATTAAAAAGAGCCTGCCCGGAGAAGGAAAAGATGCGTCTGAAGTCACGTGTCTCCATTCTGCTACTGCAAAACAGAGCGGTTACAGGCAAGAGCTGAAAAGGAACTTGATCTTTTCTCAGGATTAGCTCAGGATTTAGCTTTTGCTTTGCTTGATTTGGTAGGTTCTTGAATTTGCATGAGGAAGAGGACAGAAGGTAAGTGGGTTTTGAGCTGGATTTTCTGTGGGAGTGAAGATTGGCGGTTTTGGGTATGAAGGAGGCATTTGGATTTCATTGCCATTTCAGGTGACTGAGCGTGGAGAGTGTGAGGAAACTTGAAAACAAGCCGTTACTGATTTGAATTGCTGTAGGTGGGTCTGTAAAACAACGAGAGAGACTTTCATGCAACATGAACATCCCGCCAATAGCACAATGACGGTCGAGATAACTTTTCCACATGTTATTGCCTTATTGGCCAGATAGCAAAATAATACTAAAATAATACTATCTTGATACATGAAAGTTTTTTTTAGCCATTTACGGCCCCTGTTTTTAAATTCCAAGAGTCTCATTATCTTCATTTAAAATTGCAGGGGTCAATCGAGTTTAGCCTAGTGAAAAATTGTAGGGGTCAATCGTTTAGTTTAATGGAAAATTGCTTTAACTTGCA